CTATCTGTTCGTACATAAGACAGAGATTCGAGATTTTTGTTTCTGTTGCTTTATCTGCTCGTTCTCTTTGACTTTCATGAGAACAAATTCGTCTTCGGTAATGTTTAATCCAATATTATTTGTTAATCTTTTACCACGAGGTGGCTTCATTTGAAAATTAATTTTTTCTAACTCTTTTGTCCGTTGGCAGAGTAGAGTGTTCATTACTCGACGAACTGCCACGATTGGAGTAGAAGAGGAAGGATAAGATGTATCTAAATTCAGAATAAATACATAAGTTTTCTCAAGGATAAAAAAGTACTCACTTTCAACAGTGGGAAATTGAAGTGGTTGACGAGATGATTTAGAACTTGTTGAAAGTTTTCTTTTTTTTTATCGTGAACTGGACGTGAGGTCAAGCGGGCATGATTGTAAAGTGGTGTAGGACGAAGTAATAGATGATTGAATCAGATCATCGTCGTTGACGAAAACTGTGGGTTGTAAAGGAGTAATTTGATCGAATGTATTTGAAAGTGGTGACGATTGTGGTGGATCAGTATTTGTCGAAACATCGATAGATTTGATGGCAAGTGTTGTTGATGAAAAAAATACCGAAGCAGGAGAACAGGATGGTGTTGTTGAAGATTGCAGCCAAGGTAGCAGAATGTTTGTTGAGAGGGGTGATGTACCGATGAATGCAGTCGTTGAAGGTGTAGTGGTATTGTGAACAACTTTGTCACGCATCGCGTCGGCGTCGAAAGGCCAAATACCTATAGACGTATTAAAGCACTTTAGTTACATAGAATATAGCAGAATTTATTCACCGGCGCGTGCGAAAGAAGCAACGATTCGTGTACGTGAAAAGGCAGCTTTGTCAATGAATAATTTCTTGAGTAATTCAGGAAAATCACTATTTTTGATAGATTTATGACCATCTCTTAGATGGTTTTTAACTATTTTCGACCAATCATTTTTAACAGAATTGAAGACGACAAGATCTAACGGTTGGAGTGCATGCGTTGTATGACTCGGCAATATTAAACATATTATTTGATTGATTTTCAGAAGATTGATGATTTTTAAACTCATGTGTGACGCATGGTTGTCTATGATTAGAAGAAGCAGATGACTCAGGTGAGCTGTTGATGGAATAAATAAATGTTCAAGCCAGTATTCATACATAGGTGTATCTATCCAACCCTGTAACATATAAGATGATTACTAACCAAAGTAAGGGTTTTATTATGACTTACTTTCTTTGTCACACCATATTGGGTACCTATCGGCCCTCCTTTGCACCACGTGTTGATTAAATGTTTGCCTGCGTAAAGAATAAATAGAGGCAGTACTTGTCCACCAGCACTAATACAGATAAGAGCTGTGCGGTAATCTCTTCCAGTTCCACCGTTAGCTTCGAACATATGCCGACGACTGGAATTGACTATCACCAGTTGACCTGATAATACGAATATTAAATTTAATGGGCCAGCAAAATAAGATATACCTGCCTTTTGTCTTGTCTGAAAAACCGGATTCATCTGCATTAAATATCTGATTCGGTTGATCAATAAGATTGTGTTTCATCAACACATCCTTAAGTGTTGCAAACCATCCGGATCGAGTTTCTTCAGTAAATGCTTCGGCACGTGTTCTTTCAAGTTTTTCTTGTTTTTTCCAAATAATATCTTCAGCGTGTCGACTAACAAACAAATTAAGCCATTTTGAACCAGGTTGTATTGTTAAATCAAGAGATTAAAAATAATCAGCAGCAAGTTGAAGAGCCAGATCTTTTGTTACATCGAAACCATAGTCTGGAAGAATTTTTAGTAGAGAAACGAAGTGATTTTCTTGATCGGATGTTAAGTATGACGGACGACCGGTACGGATATTGAGCGATGGTTCACGACGATGTTGTCGAATTGTACTAGCAGGAACATTGAAGTCTATCGCAGCAGCTTTAGAATTAAGGTCGCTGGCTACGGCATTGGCAAGAGCTTCACGTGTATACTTTTTCGACATTTTGAGAAATGATTCTCTTTAGCAGTAGCAACAAAAATGAAAAATGAAAAAATGTTTCTTCATCTGTTTCATTATGTAAATGAATTTTATTATAAGCTAATTGATAACGTGTTCATGTATGTTAATCTTTATTGGATTTATTAATTAACTTGTTTGTAAGCAATTAGACTGTTCTGTTCGAAAACAGACACAAACATTGTTCCTTCCACACTTTTATCCTTTAACTCGTGATCATTATTACGGTTTAACGAAAACAACGTCTGTTATGTAGAATAGAATACATACAAAGTGCATCATTTTTGACAAGAGTAAATCCAACAAGTAGCAAGATGAAAACTTGCCGTCTTGTGTACGAATAGATAA